AGTATAATGGTCAACAAAGAAATTACTTTTTCTCTTTCTTGATTGATGTAACAGAAATCAGTTTACTTAAAAGCAGATACACTGTATGGTGATTATAACTACAGCTAAGGGAAGTGAAAGAGAGAGATACTACTAGGAAGAAGAGGTAAGGCTTAGGAACACCGGCAGGTACATACCAGTGAGGTCTTACTATGTTATTTGAAAGTAACTTGGATTAGTTGTAGCTGATTATTGTGAATTCTATGACTATCAATATAATAAGCAAAGATAAATTTGCTAGTAAGTGACAGAAAAAACAATATAACATGTTCAATTAAATAACATAAGAGAAAAAAAGACAATAAACAGAAATAATACCAAATACGATAGATATTAATTCCAGTATATAATATGCACTTTAAATACTAATGATTCTAAATAAACTGTTAAAACATACAAACTACTGTAAGGGATTAAGAAGACCCAACAGTATGTTTTTATAATAAAACTACATTAAATGTAAAGCAAAAGTAAATGAGACAATATATATGGCACTAATCAAATTACAGGGAATACCTCTATTAATATCAGACAAATTTCAGAGCAAGGAAGCTCATTAAGAGTAAATAAAGGTATCACATACAATCAAAGGGGTTCATTCCCCAAGAAGCCGTATCAATCCTTAATGTGCATGTAGCTAAGTACAGAATACCGATATACATGAAGTAAGGCTCATGGACAGGTAATGAGAAGAGACTGTTCCTGTTAGAGTTAAGGCCTTGAACAGCCCTCAGTCACGGAGGCGTACATACAGTACTCAGACAATCAGTATGGACAATCAGTATGGAATAGCTAAAGCTTGGAAGCAGTTCAGCTGCCTATCGACTGTTGACTGGATAATTTTAAAAAATAAAACGGAGTACTGCTCAGCCACGAAGAATGAGAAAGTACAGGCATTTATAGCTACATAGACGCACATTGAGGTGACATTCTTAAGTGAAATAAACAGGACACACACGTGTAACTACCAAATAGTTTCTCTGGAGTGAAAAAACTGAAAGTGCAAGTAAAGTTCAAAATCTAGACTAGATAATATGAAACGGGAAGGTAAGGTCCAAAGGGGAAGGGGAAAGTTAGGGGTAGGGGACGTGAAAAGGAAAGGAAAAAATGGAAACAAAGTCTTTGTAAATAGCGAGGGACAGATGGGTGGAAGGGAGGGTGGCAAAACGGAGGAAAAAAGAACAAAGATATATCCTGTAAACATACAAATGCCCAGTGATGAAAGCCATCATCTTGTATAGCTAAAATTTCATGACTAGTTGGACCTCAAGAGTGCGGATATTGGAAATAAATTACAGGAATTTTACTCATTTAAATTTTAAAAAACTTTTTTATTTTCATCATTTCTTCACTGCGGGCTTGGTATTTTTCTTCCTTCTTTTAGATTATTTTTCCCCCTTCCAACTTTTTTCTTTTTATCTGTTTTTTCTCTTATCATCTTCTTAGTTAAAAAGTATTGTTTAGTTTGCATGAATTTGCGTCATTTCTGTTTTCCTTTATCATTGGTTTCTAATTTCATTGTGCTCTGAACTGATACTGTGATGAACTATGTTATAATTTAATTCATTTTACATTTACTTGCTAGTATTGGCTAGTACGTGGTTCATTTTGAAAAAAGTTCAATGTGCAACTGCAAAAAATGTGTATCCTTTGGCTTGGGGATGGAACATTCTGTAGCTACGTATTAGACACATTTGTTTGAAAGGTTTCATCAACCTTGATATTCTTTTTCTCTAATTGATTTGTGTATATCTTTTTGTTAAATTTGTTAGTGCACTTTATGTATACGGCACTGAAAATGCGCACCTTTACATAATCTATCTTGGTTCTTGTCCCACTTCCCTGCCCTCCCTTCAGCCCCTCCACCCTCCTCATTTACAAAGACCGTTTCCATTTTTTCATTTTCTCATATTAATTCCTTTGCCTTCTTTCCTTTCCCCTCCCTCACTCATTTCCCCTTCACCTTCGTCCCTTTTCTTCCTGTTTCACATTGTCTATTATACCTTTTAGTCCTTATTTACACGTTCTGTTTCTCACACTTAAACTATTTGGTATGTATATATGTGTGTCCTATTTGTTTCACTTAAGAGCATCACCTCAACATGCACCCATTTATCTATGAACGTCTCTAATTTCTTATTTTTTATGTCTGAGTAGTACTCCATTTTTTTAACACATTTTCTTTATCCAGTCTCCAGTTGATGGGCAGTTGGGCTGCTTCCAAGTTTTACTTCTTACAAACTGAGCTGCTATGAACACGTGTGTACATGTATCACAGTGGTATGTTTTTTTTTTTTAATTCTTTGGGGAAGATACCACACAGGGGAGTAGCTGGGTCAAATGGGACTTCCAGTCCTAGTACTTTGAGTTATCTCCATACCAATTCCACATTGGTTGTAGCAGTCCACAGTCCTACCAACAGTGGAGCGGGGTTCCTCTTTCATGGCCCTGCCAGCATTTGTTATTGGTTGATTTCATGATAGCAGCCATTCTTTCTGGGGTGAGGTAGAATCTCAGCATTGTTTTCATTTGCATCGCTCTAATGTCCAGTGATGTTGAACAGTTTTTCATATGTTTATTTGCTATTTTTCCTTCTTTGTCTGAGAAGTGTCTGTTTAGATGCTGATTTCAGATGCCCATTTAGAATTGGGTCTTTAAATTTGGGAGGTCTGATTTTTCTAAGTTCTTTTATATTCTAGATAGTAGGCCAGGTGAAAATTTTTTCCCACACTGTGGTTTGTCTCTTCATACTGTTGCTGGCTTCTCTTGCTGTGCAGAACCTTTTTCCTAATATGAGTATTTGTGTTAGTATGAGTATTTCCTAATATGAATATTATGCATTTCCCTCCAAAGACTACATTCATTGTGGCCCATAGATTCTGATATGTTGTACGGTCATTGTCATTTAATTGTAGGAACTGTGTGATTTCTTCTTTAATTTCCTCTGTGACCCATTGCTTATTCACAAGTGTGTCATTCAATTTCCATGTGTTTATGAATTCTTGCAGTTTCTACGAGGACCACGATCAGGCCTCTGTTCACCACTGGCTGAAAGCCACAAGACAGGGTCGAGTGGTGTTTGATTTCGTGTCCTCAGCCACGGGGTCTGGTCGCTCCCTTCGCACCACTCCGCAGGTGTTGTCTTCATCCAGGATCTGGAGAGTTGGCTAGTCTCTGCCTCTGCTGCTCTGTGCTGCCCTCCCCAAGTAGGCGCTGTCCCTCCATCGTGGTTGGCTCTCAAGTGGAGCCTGGGTGCTGCTCACCTCTGTGTGTCTTCCTTTCCAATGGCATTACGTATTCTTAAATCATATAGGTTCAACAAGTACGATAATCAGATACGATAAATAATTTAAATTTTTCTTCATGTAAAAATCAGTTTGTTTTTGTAGATGGGGAGGGGAGGAGGGGGTGAAGGGAGGGCAGGGGTAAGGGGAAAAAATGAGAATCAAGACTTGTCATGTAGAGGTGCAAGATCCCAACAATGAATGTAACTGTACTGTATCCCTAAAATGTACCAATAAACTCAATTAAAGCTGAAAAAAAAACATAAAAAAAAATCAGTTTGTTACTCTATGCACTTTGATTTTCCAAATAAATTTTGCAATCAGATTATCACTGTCACCGAGGACTTTGCTGTGATTGAATTCTTGATTGAATTTTGAGAGAATTGCCATTTTGTGTCTTCAGAGACAAGAAATGATGTATCTACTCCTAAATCAACTTAATCAATGAGAGCATGACACTATTGTTATTTATAGATTTCTTGTGCATATTTGTTATATTTATTTCTTGTTATATTTTGGTGCTACTGTAATGGAATTCTCAAACTTATTTTGCCAAATCTGATAGTAGGGTATAAGGTTATAGCTGACACAACAGTGCCTGCAGGAAGGTGTGACATAATTTCATTGGTTCCAGTAGTCTCGGAGACACCTTAGAGTCTCTGATGTGAACTGTCATTACCTGCAGATAGAGTGAACTCAGCTATTTCTGTAACATCTGTACTCGTTCCTCACACAAAGACAGAGATGTGGAGCAATAGAAAAGAATTCAGGACGCAGAAAGAAAAAAAGGAAAATTCAGCTATCTGATCTTAACAAAGGAGCCGAAAACATGCACTAGGGGAAAGACAGACTCTTAATGAATGAATGGTGCTGGACAGAGTGATAAATCTACATAAATATAAAGAATTTTATGCCACATTCAGCCTCATGATTTAGCTTGATTTTTGATATGTATTATATATACCTCCTATATGTATATAAACATATAGGATTATAGTTTTTCAAAGGAATGGATAAATAACCTTGCTACTGCCTTGTTGTAATTTGCTGATCTCACTAAATTATGTCTAGCGAATTAACAACACAAAAACCTTAAAATTTGTGATGTTTTACAAACTTGTATTTATATAACCAATGTTAAAATATTATTTAATAAAATGTTATATTCTATGTACAGACATTACACCTTATGCCCATGACATTAAATCAGTTATTAAAGATATCAACATGTTTATCCAATATTTATGTTCTTATTCTTCTCACTTTTATTTTTATTACCTTTTCAGAAGTAAGTCTGATATAAAATTACCAGTATAAAAGAAAGCATATAAATTGATAAATATCAATGTGATTCTCTAAATTTTCTTTCTGCATCTGCTTTCTAATAGCTTCTTCCTATTTCTTCTTGGCCCTGGTCTATCCCCAGAAAATCAGTAATGTACATCCTGTCCTATAGAGTATGACACTGGGTAAGAGCTCCAGTTTTTGTGAATATGATTAGAACAGAGGCCTCTGTTTCTTCAAAGAGTTATAGGGTAAAATTATCTATTGTGTACTTGACACCTAATGTGACAAAGTAAATGCTTCACAGATAAAGCACAACTATATATATTTCAGTGATCCAACATAAATACAAAGAATTTGATTTTCTGAAGAAAAAAAGCTAACACTGAATATTTATTGTCTTTCCCACCTGGATGTTAAGCTCTTGACCATTCGTTTCTCAGTGCTCATTAGCAGTAAGGGACAGATCGTGGCAGAGGCATTGCCCACAAGCATCTGGACACAATGATGAATTGGGTCATTGTCCCACAATATTCCAGAGAAGAAGGATATAATACAATCCAAGCAGTACATGAACAAAAAGAAACCCATGAGCAGCAAAATGGTCCGAGTGGCCCCATCTTCTGGGGATGCCTTTGGAGAGAGGCTGGCACTGTGAAGATGCTGGAACTGCCTCTTATGCCTGCACAGCAGAGTCACCATGTATCCACTAGAGAGAGCCATCAGCCCCATAAAGGAGACATCCTGAATGTTCACCAAGGAGAAAAGTATGTACCTGAACAAGGGACTAATGGGCCACTGAGAGCAGGACTCAGTGATGAACATGAGACTCTGTGAGGTCACGTTGGGGGTGGCACCAATGGAGACTAAGAAACGACCATTCAGGAGCATAGTGAGGAGCCATAAAAAGACAAGGCCACATGGGTACTGATGCGTGGATTTGTATTTGAAATTTTCTAAGCAAGAGTTTCTGGGGCTGAGCATGAAAGCCCGGAGGACACTCAGCAGGCAGGTGGTGCAGATGGAGAGGGACCTCATGAGCCTGTTTACATAGATGACTGATTTACACGTGAGATCATTCCCCCAACCCTGAAAACCAAAAGTGTCTGTAGCTATGAATACCACAGTTACCAGCATCACCAGGTGGATGAGGGCCAAGAGACCGATAGTCAGGTCAAGGGTCTTGGGCCTGCGCTTGAGAAGAAATGTGAGGATGTGGAACAGAAGTAGGAGGGAGTTGGCTATGATCCCGATGGTGATTTCAAAGAAAACTATGCTTCTTATATCTAAAAGTCTGGAAAATTTTCTCTTTTTATTCACCTTGATAGAGGAAGAAAAAAACAATGTCTGAGGATGAAGGAAGTAAATTTGTTTATTACAAATATCACTACCATAATCATCTTGTCTAACACTATCTTAGTCAGAACAACTGGATTCCTCCCCATGTATCCCTTCCAAATTCAGAACACAGATTCACCTCGTACCTTCACAGAGGCACTGCTGCTCTGTCCCCTGTCCCAGAGCTTCCCAGTGGTGACTGGATTGGGGGTTTTATTTCTGATTTCCCACAGAAATAAGGAAATCAGGAAATCGTCACATAAGAATTGAAGGGGTAAAGGGAGGGCAGGAATAAGGGGAAAAATGAGAACCAAGACTTGTCATGTAGAGGTACAAGATCCCAATGATGAATGTAACTGTACTGCGTACCTAAAGTGTACCAATAAACTCAATGAGGAAAAAAAAAGAATATTGTCATGTAGTATAGAAAATACATCCTTGATTTTTTCTCAATTTTTAGTTTTCAAAATCAGACACAATGTCTTACGTGTTTTTGTATGTGCAGAAAATGGATGAGGTACTGGGTATATAGTAAGAGCTCTACATTTTGTGTAAAAGTTAGGAAAAGAAAATTGTCTGTCCTGTTTATGGAAATAAGATACTCACAATCCATAATTGTTGATGTGATAACCACACTCAGTTATGTTATTTCAGTGCTATCTTTCTTCTGGTTTATTGTCAGAAAAACACTCACAGAGAAAACGTCACTTAGTACGTTCTATAGACAAGTGGCTCCAGTTCACATCTCTTGTCTGCCACTTCTCAAATGCCAGACTTGAAAAGTCATTTAGCATGTTCAAGGCACAGTTATATGATCTGTAAAATGTGGGTAACTATATCACTTCTTCCCTAGAAATATTATATGTACACATGTACCACACATGGCATGGAAACAGAATGTCAGTTATAATTGTTATGATTATATAGTTCTTTATACATGTAACTTGAGAGATTTGATACAGTATATAGAATAATCCACCTCTAGTGTACTGTAAAAATCAAGGAGAAATGAATATAAAAGTATTAGACTCTTAAAAATATCCATTTATAAGGCACAAGAAATTATATAGGCTGTTTTGGAAATTTCAGCAACTATACAGCTCATATATTTTAAAACCCCATGCCAGTAAAACTAAGCCTCAGCCATTAGAGTGCAGGACTTATTAACAGGATCACACATTCCAGATTTAATTGTCACTCCATCTTCTCACAAGGAATGTAAATACTAAATACAACCATATTTTAAGGAAGTCATGATGATTATTTCCAAGGTTTTAATTAGATAAATGGGAAACATTTCAACCCTCAAGGTGGTTCACTATTAATCCACAATTTTATTCGTTTCTCAACCAAAAAGGATATTTCTGCAGAGCTATGAGCTCAAGTATAAACTTTATACTGAAGAATTGGACAATAACCAACATGTAGGGTGTCTCCCTGTGTGGCGCAGCTATTTGCTTTATAGAAGTATAACTTGAAGGTCTTCACATGGTAACATGGGTTCAGATACATATTCTCACAGAGTCATCATCTGAATATCATAGATTAAGACAAGATTTTCACAGCTACCCAGAACATAGTACTATGTAAGTGACTCAGGAAAACCTGAAGTGTTTACACACTGTGAACTAATGATCACAGTGAAGATCTCAGAGGTAAGGGAGAACTTGGTCTAAATCCTACTGAAATTTTGATTTATAAAGTAGAAAGTTCCCAGTAAGAATTAGAAAAACTTACTCTTTTCCAAAGCATTGATAAAGAGAAGTGGCACACTGTTCTCCATTCATACAGTCCGCAAATTAAAATGTATTTCTGTTATATGATGAGGGGTGAGGTAAAAAAATACTCAGTATACCAGGTGTCTCTGCCTTTTGTGGATCACTTGCTGCACTAAGCACATCTCCTCAATGGTCTTCTTAGTCTTACGTGTACTTATAAATGAGAGACTCATATTTCCTGGACATCAATTTCATGCAAGTTGCAAAAGAGATCCTCATAATATTTGAAAGAAATAACATTAGTTTTGTACCCAGCAACATTTAAAGATAATGTTTTTTAAAGAGTTACTTCACAAAATAATAAATAAATTATAAAATTGTCTCCTCATATTATCACTGCAAATCTGAGGGCTTTGCTTTAATCCCGTTTTTAGTATCTGAGTCTGGCACACAACCTAGCCAAGTAGTATATTTGGATCACCCATAGGGCGGTAGACTTACATTCTTTTCAGCATTGCTAGGGAACTCTTGTCCTACAAGCATGAAGCTCTGCAGCGGGAGATGTCTGTGGGTGCGCTACGTTTACTCAACATTCCAGATGTCAGGGGACCCCCAGGTCCTTAACTGAGACTTGCAAAGCTTCTTTAGAGCAGAAGAGCGATCTCCTTTCTCCAGAGTGCATAATCCAAGAAAGTGGTGCATTCATGAGCACGCTCTTAGGTTATTAATTTCTATGGAGCATCAGTAAGACAACAGAACATGAGGCCAACCATCTCCTGTGTCACACTGTCCAGAATGTATTTTCTAGTAAAATATCAGTACAGGAGTAGCTTTATACCTTCCTGTATATTATTATGTGCAGACAAACGAAGGACAAAATATTTCGTGTGTGTTTCACTAATATAGTTGTACGTGATCCACAAAATTTGAAGAGACTCTCCATAAGCACAGAGTGTGTTAATTTTCTGGGAACATTGGCCTACATGCTATAATTTTGGCAAAGTTTAAGCTGGAAATCCATAAAAATGAAAGAGGGTAAAAAAGCATATACAACAAGGCAGGAACAAGCATCACAAGTGAGATATACGAGATATACGGTCCACGTTCACTGCACAGCTCTGGTGAGGTGCACAGCTCTAGGAGAAGGAAGGAAAAACCCTGAGGGCCATTAGAGTACATCGGTGGCAGCTGAATACTTTTTAAAAGTACAGTGCCATTACCTTCTGTCCATTTAAAAGATGCTGAAATACACATCTTAGGGCTCATTTACCCATAGCTATGTACAGAATTAGTGTGCTGATGTCATTTTCATAGTACCAGGAGAAGAGAATTTCTCTTCCAAAGTAAAAACAAGAAGCAGAAAATCTCCAGAGACACCTCATCACAGATATGAAGCTGTCATCGCTCACAAACACTCATGGCCCAGGTGAGGCTCTCCAATCACCCCAGAAAGAATGAGAGTCTTGTACTTTTCAAAACAGATTTCAGATCTATTTGTCGTCATATCTCTGAATTATCTTCATAAGAGAGGAGAATAGTTAACATTTATATGTGGGTAAAAATACTTAAGCAGTATGGGGTGTGTCTAACACACAAACACAAAAAGTATAGCGATCAGAACAGATAAAAGTATTTCCTTCTGAATCTTTCCTCTATTGAAAGTGGTTCTGGTGTAGCCACTCTGAATGAAAGCAGGAGAAATGTTTTCAAAATGAAGAGAAATAGAGAAATGTTCATGGGATGTATTTTTCTTCTCAACAAATTCTGATACGTTACATTCTAAGTTCTTAACTAGAAACATGGAAAATCTCCATCATCATCATCATCATCTTCGATTTGCTATACTTTTCATGCAGTTACAGTCCAACTTTCATTATTATCTGATATGCAGTTTCCTATCAGGTGGAGCACATGCCTAAATGCTGACACCATTCATGTGAAGTTTCAAAAATGAACACTGGGTCAAGCAAGCTCTCAGTGAAAAAATGCTCACGCATATTTTGTAGGAAAGAGGATAAATTCTTTTTCAGAGCTGATGCATCGAGCAAAGAACCTCATTGCATACTGCATAAGAAGGTTTTCAAATGTTTTAATCAATTTCTACAGGTGAGAGAAGTGAAACTGAGTCTGTATGATGAAAAGCCAAAGTGAAAATATATCTCTTTCACAAAGGATGTAAATACAAATAAAGTGTACCGATAAACAATGATTTTTTTTTAAAGCTGCAGACTAAAATGACTATATCTTCCTTGAGAAATGATATAGCAAGCAAACCATTAGTTCAGGGTAATAAACACATGCCTGAAGTTAATTTAGTATTTCTTATGAAAAATATACAAATTTTATGAGTCACAAAACCTAATGGCTACAAAAACTGAGTCTACAGAAACCTCAGCCAAAGTCCACTGGCCTCTTTCCATAATCCTCTCTCAACTGAAACTGCCCCTGTGGACAGAGGCACTTACCCAGGAGGACATGTTGGGTATCTGGTGCTCCTGAGAAAACTCTGTGCAGCCTTAAGAAAATGAGGTCATTAGCTCACCTCTCTGCAGATCTGTTGTTTTAGCATCGGTAGGAAGGTGACAGGATCCCACTGGGGAGGATAGAGTTACAGAATCCTCGATGGAGCACTTCACCTGTCTCTGGATTTTACTTTCCTCTCCTGTGGATAACAGCTCTCTGGGGACAGCTGTGCTCAAACTTTCCCCAAGTTTTCTTGGCATATCTGTGTGAGGGACCTGAGTGGTTACATCGCCGTGTTCTCTCCTTTTCATCCTAAATGCGGATTAGTCCAAATCCATTGCAAATTAGTCCAAACCCATGGCACATTCCTAGTCTAGCATGAGAGATTCCTGGTGCCTCCCAAGAGCTCCCAGTGGCTCTGCAGCTCCTCTCACTAAGAAGTGTGACCAGCACGCTCTTCTCCAGTCTGTTCACACTCAGAGAACTAGGGGACAGGGCATTCCTGGTTGTAGATTTTGTGTGTTCAATGAGTACCAACTTCTTCTCTACAGGTGCCAAGCTTGAGTCAAATTTCGATATGAAGTGTAGTAAAAATTTTAAAACTGGAATAGTAAGGCCTGGGATTTGGCTCAGTGATTCCACTGTCTGCCTCGCAAGCGCATGGACCTGAGTTCGATCCCCCATAGCATTATCATAAATAAATAAATAAAGCAAGAGTAAAGGCACCAGATGAGGCTGCGGGTTGAGGTAATCACAGGCACAAGAACGTAAGTGGAGTCAAAGCAGAGCCGGAGCTGAGCTCTGTGCACTGAGGAAGCTCAATGTTCAGCCCTCACCCACACCGATGGAGGTGAGGAAAGGCTCATGCTCTCTCAGAATGGCAAACAGAAGATAACGTACAAAATTATAGACAGGATTATGAGATGCACAGTGAAATGGACACTATGACATACAGCTGGACGAAACGACGGTGTTTACAGCGTGCGTGAGAGGAAGCTATCAGCCTCACCTCCCATGCCAGAAACGTCATGAACACCATCTCAGGAGAGGGCTGGAAGGAGAGCAGCAGTGAGTCCTTCAGGGCCGGCCTGGCCAATTGCATAGACTCACAATCGCACCATCTTCCCACCACACTGCGGCAACGTGAGACAAATCCAACCCAGGGATTCAGAGAAGCTGAAAACAGAACTGAGCAGAATGAATGGCCATCCACTCGTGGGCCTGCCTGTGACACAACAAAGCACACCAGGGATGGTGGGCCTGGGAGCTCTGGGGACAGAAAAACCTTGCTTACCAGAAGAAAAGCTGTCACCCCCTCCTCCCACACAAGGCAAGTGCTGTAGGTGAACACTCAGTGCCCTGCCCTCAACTCTCTGCCAGCTATCGGGCGGGAGGGGAGGGCGTCCAACAACTCCAGGCAGAAATCAGGCAAAACCGTCGTTGCAACAAGATCACAGAGCAAAGTGAAATAGTGAATTGGCAGGATCACAACAAGGAGGAGTGCTCTCCTGTTTTTCAAAAATTGAACAGGCTAGAGAAGGTATGTGGTCTAACCCACCACCCCGCACTGGCAAATGAGTTTACAGGTTCTGTGGGCAGGGCTGAGACACACATCTGGAAGCAGAGATCCTCAACAGCACCTGGACAGAAGCATTTTGGTTGTATATTAGCTAAGGAAAGACAGGAGGAAAGACCTGGAGATGCCATGATATTTACACCCTCAGATATGCTTTAAAAATGATAAAAGAGTGAACAAAATTCATCCAATAGCCACAGAATACCTTAAGGCTAATTTCAGTTAGAGAGGAAGTGGAAGAAAGCACACAGGAAATAAAAGAAATCTTTGGACACACATTAGGGCAGTTTATGGAGGACGAGATTGTGCAAGTCCAAAATCCCAGAAGTCTGGATGCTGAGGCAGGAGGATCACTGAGTTTGATGCTAGCTGGGACTACATAGTGAGTTCAAGGCCAGTATGAACTGAAAATCAAGTCCCTGGCTCATTCCTGATATTAGAGGAAAAGCTTTCTGTTTTTCTCCAGTAAATATGAAGCTGACAGGAGGTTTTTCATAAATGGGTTTTATGAGATTAAAATAAGTTCCCTCTATACATATTTTCTTCAGTGAGTTATCATGAATGAATATTGGATTTGTATATCTAAAAATATTATTGTAGGTATTATCTTTCAAATGTTTTCACTGCTAATAGAAATTTATAAAGAAAAATATTTCAGGGTGCAGGGGGTGCAGGGAGGGCAGGGTATGGGGGAAAAACAAGAACCAAGACATATCTTGTAAAGGTACAAGACCCCAATAATAAATTTAACTGTATTCTTTGCTTTAAATGTACCAACATACTTAATGGGAAAAAAGAAAAATATTCACCATTCCAAATATTGTTTCATTTTTATGACTTGCATTATTTCTCATAGGATGATGTTTGCTCATCTTCTTTTCTCCATTATAATGTTTTTGGGCTTGTTCCTTGTAATATTTCTTCTATTATGTTTTGCAACAATTTCAGTGTGACATGATGAGGCATGGTTTTCTTGGGCTTTTGTATAGAAATCATTCAGATTCTTGGTTCATATATAGCAAGAGTGGAAAAACTACGTTTACCCTTTTCATATAGTGTATTCCTCATTTTCATTTTTCCTGTCTCTAATTAAAGACGTGTTAGAAAGACTAATAACCTGCATGAATCTGTTTTATTTTCAAAAGCTTTTCACCTTCTTCACTTGAGTTTTGACATTTGCTAAACTGTGTGAAGTTTTTTAAATAAATCCTTTGTTGGGTCCAATCGCCGCTTACCAATCCATGTGAAAACACATATTGCAGTATTACATATTTACTTTTTCAATAATCTTCTAAACTTCCATTTATCTTCAGAAGAAAATAAAATCTGATCTTTTCATGCATTGTATTATGTTGACAAGAGTTGTTTTAAACTACTGGCATCTAATAGAAGCTCCAGCTCTGCCTCAACTTCAGTTACATTCCTGTGCCTGTGATTACCTCAACCCACAACCTTCTCTTGTATATTTACTGTTCCATTTTTTATTTCTACTAAAATTCACATTGAAATTTGATTCACAGCTTGAAACCTCAAACTAAGAATTAGGAATCCTGCAGCACACAGAATCCACAGCCAGTAGTCCCCTGTAACCAAGTGCTCAGTGTGAGGATGGAGAGGAGAAGAGCATGCCTAGCACACTTTCTAGGGAGAGGAGCCTCAGTTCCCTCACTGAGAACTCTTGGCAGTGCCATGGGTTTACGCAAATTTGTAATGGATTTGGACTAATATGAATTTAGGGTTGAAAGGAGAGAAAATGGCAATGTCTACTTGATGCGAACATTTAGTCCCTAACACGGATGTGTCAAGAGAACTTTGAGGAAAGTTTGAGCCCAGCTGTCCCCAGATAGCTGTTATCCAGAAGAGAGGATCATAAAATCCAGAGAGAGGTGAAGCGTTCCATAGAGGAATCTGTAGTTCTGTTCTCTCCAGTGGGGACTTGTCACATTTCAATAGATGCAGAAATGACACTTCTGCAGAGAGATGAGCTAATGACCTCCTTTTCTTAAGGCTGTGCAAGGTTTTCTCAGGAGCACCAGATACCGGACATGTCCTCCTGGGTAAGTGACTCTCTGTCACCAGATGCAGAGTCAGTAGGTGAGCAGGGTCCAAAACAGGCTATGGAAGGAGTCCAGTGGGCTTTGGGTGAGGTTTCTATAGACTCAATTTTTGTAGCCATCAGCCTTAAACTCATAACTCATAAAGTTAGGGTATTTTTCATACAAAATACTAAATTAATTTCAGGCATGTGTTCATTATTCTGAACTAAGGCTTTACTACCTATATCGTTTATCAAAGATAGTGTCATTTTAGTCTGCAGCTTTTGTATTTGCATTTATATCCCTTGTGAAACAGATAAAATTTCATTCAGTTTGGCTTTTCCATATACAGACTCAGTTTTTCTCTCTACTGTATAGATTAATTAAAACATTTGAATAAATTCGTGTGTAATATGTGATGAGATTCTTTGTTTAAAGCATCAGCTTTGAAAGATAACCTAACGTCTTTGTTAAAAATGGATATGAGAATTTTCTCACAGAGAGCTTCTCGACCCAGTGTTCATTTCACAAAGTTCACATAGGTGGTGTCAGGACTTAGGCATGTGCTCTACCTGCTAAGGAAATTCCATATCAGGTAACAATGAAAGTTGGACTGCAATTCCATGAAAAGTACAACAAATTGCTATTTCCTGTGTTTCTTGTTAAGGTGGTGGGGATATTTCCTATTTCTTGTTAAGGTCTTAAAATAATGTACCACAATTTGTTGAGAGAAAAGAATGTGTCTCATAATTATTTTCTTGTCTCTTCTTAATTTTACAAATATTGCTTCATCTTTGAGTCATATATTTCCACCTGTTCTGTTATGTGTGTGCGAGACACGTAAACCACAGATTAAGTATTTTTACTACCTGATAAATGTTAACTATGCTCTTTCTTTTTATCTATATTAAGTTTATTGCTACATTTTAGGTACACAATACAGCTACATTCATCACTGGGATCTTGTACCTTTACATGACTTATCTTGGTTCTTATTTTTTGGTTCTTATTTTTCCCCCTTCCCCAGACCCTCTTTCAGCCCCTCCACCCTTTCCTGCTTACAAAGATATTTTCCATTATTTTCCTTTTCTCATATTTCTTCATTTCCCTTTTTACCTTTCCCCTACCCCTCCTCCTTCCTCTACTCTTTTAGAACTTTTCTTCCCACAATATCAACTGTGCATTTTGACCCTTGTTTGCACTGCCAGTTTTTCACACCAGCGAAACTATTCAGTATTTATACAAGCTGCTTTCCTTTTAAATAATTCAAAGACATGAAGACATACGGATCAGAAAGACATTTTTCAAATCACAATACTTTCATTCCTTCACTCCAGCGGTGACTGGAGAGCCTCACCCAAGTCTGTTTGTGAGGGATGAGGGCTTCATATTTGTGGTGAGACATCTCTGGGGGTTTTCTGTGTTTTTGTTTTTTGGTTTTTGGTTTTTGGTTTTTCTTTTTTTACTTTGGAATAGTAATTATTTTCTGATTTTTGTGAAAATAGACATAAACATATTCTCTAAGTAGCTAGGGATGCGTGAGCGCCAAGATGTGTATATTGGCATCTTCTACATGGGCAGAAAAGGTAATGTTACTGCACTTTTTTAAGTGTGTGCTGCCACACACCTACTCGCGTAAGCTCTCGGGTTCTTCTCTTCCTTTCCTAGAGTGCTGCACTTCGCAAAAGCTGTGCAGGGAGCTTGGACCGTCTCTCTGGTTTGTGGTGATTTTGCCTTCTTTCTTGTGTCTGCTCTTTTACCCTCGTCCCTTTTTATAATTTTTCAGCTCAAATTCTGCTAAAATTGGAACATGTGCAACAATATTCCCACAAAATTAACCCAATTCCTCCTTCACGGAGTCTCAGCTCAGAGGAATGCTTTCTATCTCAAATTATAAACAAGGTAATATTGGTGATCATTATGGCTAAGGTGACTTGTAAACTACAAGAATAATAGCCCAGGTATGCTCTATCATACCTCTACGGCACGTAGACAAATGTTGGACACAAATCCTATTATAACACGTCATCTCACCCTGTGTTATATATGAATTGTTTTCTTGTTTCCTACGAAAAAATCAATTATGTGGCCCCTTTTCTCATTGTAATTTGTCCAACTTGAAGGCCATAAATGCCCACATTTGCTGGGCATCCGCTGATGTCCTTCCCTCTCACTATACTCCAGGTCTCTCCTGGCCTCTAAGTGGGTTTCATTGACCTGAGCTTTCCTCACTGCTTTCTGAACCCTCTGATGACTCCATTTGTCACGGGCTTGTCCCTGGTCTCAGTAATTGCAAGATAACATTGTGTCTATGTAGAATTCTGCCTTGATCAGAGTATTAACTAGGTTTTGAACTGTGTTGCATTTCTCAGAGTGTATCCCAGCCTTTTCTGTGAGTTACGAGAGCTCCTCGTGGTTATTGCCTCAAAATGAGCACAAAAGTTTCTCTTTGACATTTCTTACTACATTTACATTTCACTTTCCATAAACTCCCCATGTCCTATCTTTTCTTATTCTTGATGAGGCCTTCAGAATGTAGACTATTTTAAAATTTCTTCTATGTTACTTTCCTACTGATATTTATTTATTCATATATATTTTTAGGCTGGCTAAATTCTGGACATAGATCCTGACACTGCAGATCATTTCATCCTAGTGATAGGCAGATTACAATGAGGGCAGCTTCTTTTGACCCATGTTTGAAATGAGACCTTTGTGTTCGATGTTTTGGGTGAACCAGGTTGTGGCTCAGCATTGGCACTCCTAAGACCTGTATTGGAAGGGTGTCCACTAGCTCATTCTGTGGATGGAAGAAGCTGCTGTCCTGTCCCCTGTTCCCCTAATCTGGGCTGAGCCTGGTAGGTGTGAGCTGGATGAGGCATGGATAGGAAGGGACATACTACTAGACCATTTCTGTTAGCCTGTTGTCATGTGTCATATCCTGCAGAATGTATGTCCAAGGGTAATATTTGTTTAGAAGTACCTTTATACCTTTCTCTGTAACATCTACAGACAAATACAGGACAAAAATGTTTGGAGTGTGTTTTGCTAACATTGTTCTGTGTGATCCACAAAATTCAGAGATAGCTGGATGATTGGCCTTATGTTCTTTCATCTTTCTGATGCTCTATGGGAATTAATAATGTAAGTCAATCAGTGCTTGTAAATGCAGCACTTTCCTGGATTAATGCTCTGGAGAAAGGAGATTGCTCTGCTCTAAAGAAGATTTGCCAGTTTCAGGTAAGGACTCAGGGGTCACCTGACAAGCTGAATGTTGAGTAAACTTGAAACATCTGCACACATCTCCCACCTCACTCTATGCTTGTAGGACCATAGTTCTTAAGCAACGGTATAATGTATTTAAAATAATGTATTTCTAGTGCTCTCCTTATGGATGATTCAAACATTTTAATTGGCCACTTTTAGAAGTTATAAGCCAGACTCAATTTTTAAAAACAGAATTAAAGTAAATCCTTAATTTTTCCGTAATAAAATGTGGAGACAAATTTATGATTTATATTTTATTTTTTCAAGTAATTCTTTTAAAATACTATCTTTAAATGAAGCTGCACACCTAACTAATATTTCTTTCAAATATCATCATTATACATTTCATAACTTACATGAAATAGATGGACAGCAAGCAGAAGTCTCTCATTTCTAAGCACATGAAAGACCAAGAAGACTATTGAGGAAGTGCACTCAGTGGCAGCACGTGATCTACAAGAGTCAGACACCCCTGGGAGTCAGCTGAGTAGTTTGTTGGTGTTGTTTTTTGAGACAGAGTCTCACTATATAGTTGAAACTGACCTGAACTCACTATGTAGCCAGGCTAGTCTTGCATCAGCCTCCCCAGTGCTGGGATTACAGGCATGTGCCACCACGCCAAGCATTTAGATGAGTATTTTTTTTACATCACCCCTCATCATATAACAGAAACAAACTATTTTGCTGACTTCATGAATTGAGAAAATTGAGTCACTTCCCTTTATCAATACTTTGGAAAATGTCGTTTTTTTTAATTCTTACTAGGAAATTTCTATTTTATACATCAAACTTTCCACAGGATTTAAATGAGTTCTCACATCTAAGTTCTTCATTGCGATCATTAGTTAATAGTGCATAAGTATTTCGGGTTCCCCTCAGTTACTTTTAAAGCATATGTTCTGGGTAGCTATGAAGATCTAGTCTTAGTCTATTATGTTCCAGCGATAAATCTGTGAGAATATGTGTCTGTACCAATGTTACCATGTTACAACCCTCCAATTATACCTCTATAAAGGCTTCAATTAAAGCAAATACCTCCTTCACACAGGGAGATACTCTGCAAGTAGATCATCACAAAATTCTTCAGTATAAAATTTACACTTGAGCTCGAAGCTTGGCAGAATTATCCTTTCTGGCTTCAGAAAGCCATGAAATTTTGGACTTGAACTACCTTGAGGGTTGAAATGTCTTTTTTGATTTAATTTAAAACATTAGGAAAAAATCATCACAATTTCCTTTAAGAAGCGGTGGTATTCACTCATTTCATTCCACAAGCTTGTGATGGAGTGAAATGAAATCCAGATTGTGTGATCTTGATAGTAATCTGTACTTTGATGACTGACTGAGACTTGTGCTTATTGGTGTGAGGTTCTGAAATACAGGAGCTCTATAGTTGTAAAAATTTCCAAAACTATGTAATTTTTTCTGCCTTATACATGAAAAATTTTTACAGTCTAGTACTTTGGGATTTATTTCTCCTTGCTCTTTTTGATGCACCAGTGGTGGGATATTTTATATATTGAATCAAATTTCTCAAGTCACACGTATAAGGCATTACATACTAATAACAAATAATAACTGACATTCCATTCCCGCACCATGTTTGGTACATGTGTACACATACTATCTCTAGGAAAGAAGAGATATAATTACCCACATTTTAAAGATCAGGTAACTGTGGCTCAGATGTGTTCATTGATTTTTAAGTACTGAATTTGACAAAAGTCAGACTAGAGATGTTAATTGGAGCCACTTGCGTGCAGAACAATCTGAGCAACATTTTCTTTATGAATATTTGTTCTGACAATAAATCAGAATAAAGATAGCACTGAAGTAACATACTTGTGCATGTCTATCCTGTCCACAATGATTGCTTGGGAGGATCTCATTTCCATATACAGTCTGGACAATTCTCTTTTCCCAACCTTTAGTGAAAATGGTAGAGTTCTTATGATATACCTAGCACCTCATTTACTTTCCACACGTAAAACATTATGTTTGATTTTGAAAACCAAAAATTGATACAAAAATAAGGAAATACCTTCTGTGCTATATGACAGTCTCCTTACAGAGTTGCTGTGGGCAGCCAGAAATAAAACACATAATACAGCCACCACTTGGAAGTACTGAAATAGAAGAGAGAACAGTGGTCTATCCAGAAGGGGATGAGGTGGACCTGAGTTCTGAAGAGGAAAGGATGCACAAGGAGGAATTCACAATTTCTGAAGAAGGAAGGCCTAGTGTTGATGAGATTGATGATGGTGGTGATATTTGGGATAAAGAACTTTTCTTCCTTTTCTTCTCAGACATTTTTTCTTTCTCTATTAAGGTAAATAAAAAGAAAAGCTTTGCCAGTCTTTCAGACATAAGAAACATGGTTTTCTTTGAAATCACCATTGGAGTCGTCGCCAACACTGTCCTGCTTCTGTTCCACATCCTCAAATTTCTTCTCAAGCAAAGACCCAAGCCCCTTGACCTGAGTATTGGTCATTTGGCCCTAATACACCTGGTGATGCTGGTAACTGTGGGCCTTGTAGCTACAGACACTTTTGGGTTTCAGGGTTGGGAGAAGGATCTCACATGTAAATTGGTTATCTATGTAAACAGGCTGATGAGGGCCCTCTCCCTCTGTACCACCTGCCTGCTGAGTGTCCTCCAGGCCATCGCCCTCAGCCCCAGAAACTCATGTTTAGCAAAGTTCAAGCACAGATCCACACATCACTACCCATGTTTCCTTGTCTTTTTATGGATCTTCACTATGCTCCTGAATGGTCGTTTGTTAGTCTTCATTGGTGCCACCCCCAATGTGACTTCACACAGTCTCATGTTTGTCACTGAGTCCTGCTCTCACTGGCCCATTAAGTCCTTGTTCAGGTACATATTTTTAACATTGGCAAACACTCAGGATGTCTCCTTTATAGGGCTGATGGCTCTCTCAAGTGGATACATGGTGACGCTCTTGTGCAGGCATAAGAGGCGGTTGCAGCATCTTCACAGCACCAGCCTTTATCCAAAAACATCCCCTGAAGAAAGGGCCACTCAGACCATTCTGCTGCTCATGGGTTTCTTTACTTTCATATACTTTTTGGATTGTATTACCTTCTCTTCCTCTGCAATATTGTGGAAAAATGACCCAATTCATCATTATGTCCAGATGCTTGTGGGCAATAGCTATGCCACAGGCTGTCCTTTGGTGCTAATGAGCACTGAAAAACGAATGACCAAGTGGTTAACATCCAGGTGGAAAAGACTCAATGTTTAGTGATGGTAATTTCACTTCAGTTAAGCAAATTCTTTGAATTTCTGTTGGGTCACTGAAATATATGCAGCTATGATTTTTCTCATAAGCATTTACTTTGTTACTTTTGTTGAAAAGCTCATAACAGATAATTTAATACTATTACTCTCTTTGAAGAAAGAGGACACTGTTCTAATCATATTTACAAAACCTAGAGCACTTACCCAGCGTCAAACTCTGAAAGACAGAATGTACATCACTGATTTTGTGGGACTAGACTAGGGCCAAGAAGAAGCAGTAAGGAGGTGCTACATAGCAAATTCAGAAAGAAAACTTAGAGCAACATGTTGAAATTTATCAGTTTATATGCTTTGGTTTTATACAGTTAATTTTCTATCAAACTCATTTCAGAGAAGCTAATAAAAATCAAATTGAGAAGAATACACATCCTGGAAAAACATGTTGATGACTTTAATAATTTAATGTCATGTACATAATGTATACTGTTTGTACACAGAATATAACATTTTATGAAATAATCCTTTAATATAGGTTATGTACCTAGAAGCTTAGAAAATTCCCATGAATTTTATAGTCAAGTTACTGTGACATAATTCCACTAAACATAATTTAACAATACCAGCATATTCTGATAAGGCCATACTGATATATGAAACTATTATACATCCTAACCTATTAGATATCTGATATGCTGAGTTTGTATTCTCTAAAAATCAAAGAATGAATTCTAGGTACAATGGAGGTTAAGAGTACTAAAATATTTTTGAGAGGATAGCTTCTGAGAGACATTAGGGGGCCCAAATGGGTAGCCAGGGATCCCACTCTACAGGAAAGTTTTAAAAAGCAAAACCCACATGGGTATAATATGGGCTACAGCTATGACTAACCAATAAGATTACAAGTATAGTCGCTCAGACAATAGTAATGTCATGTGGAAACAAGTTACCTAATGAAGATGCATGGAAAAACAAATACTGTTTTCTAGAAAATTATGGGTCTAGAGGTCTTGGTCACCACCAGGGTCACTGATGCCTATCTAGACTTTATTAGGCTTAGTGTTTGTCTTTTGAGGAAGTATGCGGGCCTGATCATTATCTTGAGCCCTGGTTTCCACCGGATATGTGTCTAGCTACAGTCATGCTGTCTTTCACCTTTGTCCTGACTTTTAAGGGCCTATTCTTGGCTTGCTGCCTCTAATATTTCTACCTGATTTAGCTGTCTATAATCTTCCACCCTCTGCCATAAGGGGGCAAGCGGCAATGACTGTTCTGACTACTTCAGGCTGAAGGGGGTGGTAATTATGATTGGCAGTCAGAGATACTCTCTAGAGGGTCTATATAAAGGCTCTCCATAGATTTCAGGCATTCTTGACATGAGAAAGTGAATAGTTTTCAGTCTGGAGGAGACAAAGCCAAAGAAACAGTTAAGTACATATGGGCCAAACAGTAAGATCAATAAGACTAGTACTAATATAACCAAGAAATGTTTCCAACAAGAAGAGCCAATAATAGCATTTTACAAAAAGGTTAAGGAGAAGGTCCAAGGAATCTCAGAATCGGACATGGCCCTTAGCCTGTCATTAATATCTTGAGCAGTCATTGAGATATTAGCAGAAGTATCAGAAATCTACACACAACATTCAGCTTTTACCATTGCACAAATGCCCTCCCTGTACTACTGTCAGGATGTCTAATGCCACTGAATTTTGGAAGGTGGCTTGTCTCATTTCTTTCCTTTTTCCCATATGGGAGAGAGAAACCAGTCCAGGTGTCATTTAAGGCCTGTTGAGCATAGTTAGTCAAGACCTGGATGTGTTGCGTGACATCTTCTAATCCTAGAGAAGGGATAAAAAAAACCCTAGAGAAGGGATAGAAGCCATATAATCATACCAGTGAGACACACGTCTAGACCATCAATGTTATAGATTAGGTAAGTTTGCAGACTTGTAGATACTTTTTGCACTCTGGCTTTGTAACCCCACAAATCGTAGTGCGCATCTTCCTATCCATCCAGGGGGGATCCAGGGCCACAGATTGGTTCTACAGGACCAATAAGTACCATAGGGGGCTTCCCATCTAATTCTAGGGTGACTAAACCAGTCTGTTCCAAACCAGCCTTTGATCTGGAAAATTATACTGTATTTACATTGCTCATGAGATGTCCATGCCAAGTATTTAGTAGTTATTCCAGTGAGAATAGGAGTGATTTCTTTGTTCCCAACACAAGCGGGGGGCTTTCTGCTAAATCGTCCTATAGTTGGAGTTAACCAAGTATAATTATCCCATATCTGAAAGTAGCCATCCTGATGTCTATGAATGTTTGCTCTCATGATAGGACGTTTATTCTTACTTAATAGGGAATACATTGGCGCCTGTGGAGAGGTTGGTAGCATTTTTAGAAAATATTTGATTATGTCCATGATCATTAAAAGTAGAGGTAACGGGTCACTAAATTACTCTGTAATGGTGGGGTATGTTAGAACGTTTTAATGTCTCCTCAATGTAGTTTTATAGTATTATAGTATTGTTTTTATATTGCTTCTGGTTATTCTTTTCTGCTGGGTGTTTAAAACCGAGTTAAAATAAGATCTATGTTAATCAAAGTTAACCTCTTATATTCTATCACGTTCCAGGAAGTCTTTCTCAGGCATTACTTTTGGAACCATGTATAGAGTCTCCTCTATCAGCATCAGCTGCCAGAATGGGTCACAATCTTGCTTCACTGCGTTGCTTTCTGTGAAATATTTTCTTTCTCTGGTGACTTTCCTTTAGAACACTGCACATTTGTTGATTGTTGTCTTCTGGGGTTTGACAGTCTCCCTGCTCAGGAGTATGGGTGACTTACCAATGTGGTGGGTTCCTGAAGAAAATGTTTTCTCATATCCTGAGTCCTGCTTCATCTGGGAGGGCCAGGATCAAAATATTGACTGTTCTCATCCTAGTTACCTTTTTAGCACTGGTCTCTAAATTTCAGTTGTGCAACACCCAGAAGAGAAGATCAGTTCCATCAGTATTATAATCGGAGCAGTGAGCTCAACTACTATAATCTCATTTGGATATCAGGCACTTTGAAATATAGCCAGAGGACTATTATATTCTTATCAGTTATGGTTGTTTTAGATGTTCAACCTCTGTAGATTGTTAACAGATAACAATTACAAAGTTTAAACAAAATCATATTTTAGCATGACAATTATGGTATTATTTTTGAAATATATTTAAATGTCTATCAGTATAGAATAACTTTTTTGGCAGTCATTTCTATCTGGTACACAAAGAAGATCTTACCTAATTTGCTACCCTTTAATACAATGTAATAGAAGAAGCATGTGACTTTGTCTGGATCACCAGTGTCTGAGTAACTCTAAGTGATGTCACTCATATATAACATATAATATCATATATATACATATATATATACATATATATATCCTATATATTATATATACAGGATATATATCACATAAGGTTTTTATAATATAATGTATATTTTATATCTGTTTTATATTCATTTTTATATATTATATAATTTTATATTATATAAAATATTTATATTATATTTTATAATGTATATATCACATAAGTTTTTTTTAACTATCATTTGAGTGGTGGTCTTATACTTCTTATCACAAGTAGGTGCAGCACCAGAGTCAAATAAAAAGTTAATCATTATAAACAAGCCTAGTTTTATATTTTAGAAGACTTGTACACCCTAAAAGTATGAATACATTCAGTATACCATGAAATCAGCAATAATGCATGCTACATCTACATAGAAACCTTTCTTAATTTAGTTTTGTACTAAGAGCATCTTTTAGTAATAAAACTCCGTTGTTTTACCAACAGAAACCCCAATGCTTTGATGACATCCAGTGTAAGCATATTACAATTATATGTTTAGCAGTTTTGTGGGGGGGTATCTCTCATAGGGCTGTGAAAATTACTGGGGTTTCATTAGTGAACAAAGGCTGGATCAAGATGTTTCCAGGCTGCTATTCCTTTATATCCTGAGGGAAGTCCTTCCCATCAGATTTTTTTTAAGCCTAAGAGGACTCAATTTAATTGTCTTAACAAAACTTAGGTGAGTTATGAGAGCATCTAATAGTGTGTGACTGCTCAAAAAAACATAGAGGTTTGATTTTGGCATTCCTCACTACATTTGTTTTACTCTCCTTGGACTGCCCACATGGCCTTTCTTTTCTTTTTCCTAAAGTGGCCCTCAGTATTTGATTTCTTTCTGAACTTTCTTTTGGGTTACTTTCCCTGTGATTCACTTGGTTTTGCTTTGCTGTGCTGTGTTCTGTTGCCCTGTGTTGTGTTTTAATGAACCTAGTCTCTATGAGGGCAGTTGATTTTGTGCAGTTTGAATAATGAGAATTTTGTGTTCAATATTTTGAGTGAGCTAGGTCCTGTCTCAGTACTGTCAATTTTAAGAGCTGCATTTCAAGAGAGTGTACTAAATCATTCTGTGGAGTAAATGGACTATTATCTTGTCCTTTGGTGCCCTAAGCTGTGGTAAGCCTGGCGGTTGTGAGATGGATGAGGCACGGCTGGGAGGAGATGCACTACTAGACTATTTCTGCTGGATTATTTTCATTTGTTCACATTCTCCAGAATAGATTTTCCAATAAATACTACTACAGAAATAGTTTTATACCTTTCTGTAAAACATCTACACCCAAATACAGGAAAAAGATATTCGGGACCATTTTGATAATGTAGTTGTGTGTGGTCCATAAAACTTGGAGATGGCTGCATAATTAAGCATATTTTCTGTCATCTTTCTGATGCTCTACAGGAATAATGACAAAAAAAAGGTGCTCCTACAGTACTTTTCTCTATTAAAGCTCTGCAGAAAGGAGATCACTCTTCTGCTCCAGACAAGCTTTGCTTTGCCAGTTTCAGTTTAAAAGCAAAGGGCTCCCAAGACATCCTAAATACTGTGTAAACTTAGAGCATCTACACACATTTCCCACCTTCATGCTTGTAAGACTGCAGTTCCCT